CGGCCGGCTCTCGGACACCTGGGTCCCTTCCATCCCCCCGGGACTCCCCGCATCTGGCAGGCTCTCGGACACCTGGGTCCGATCCGTCCTTCCAAGCCCCAGTGGGAAGCGAGACTCCCCCAGCCCGGGTCCCGGGGCCACCCCGGCGCAGCGAGCCCCTTACCCCGGCACAGCGCGGCGCAGGCCAGCAGCAGCAGCAGGGGGGTGCCGGGGGCGAAGCTCCTTGGGCGGCTCATGGTCCGGGCTGGCGGCGGAGGCTGGTGCTGGGGGATCTGGGCTCGGCTCAGCTCTGAGCCACCGCAGCGCCCCGCAGCCGCTTTTATGCCCGCTGGGTCAGCCACCCGCAGCCCGCGGGGAATTCCTGGGAGCCCCATGCCGAGGTGCGGGGCTCACTCACCCGGGGAGGGGCGGCGGGGAGTTCGCATTCCCCATCCCGTGCCTCACATGGGCCGTGGATGGGTCAGGCTGTGAGTGTGAGAGAGAAATAACACCCTGCCCTGGGGCTAACCCATCGCGGCCCTGCCCAGGCGGGGTCATGCTGCCCGGGGATCACTGGCCCTGCGTGCTGGAAGCAGCCAGGTAATCATTACTAGGAGAGCTGTGCTGTCTATGCACCCAGCGCCCCAGGAGTGCCTGGGGTTTCCCCGGGGAAAATAACATTCACCAGCATGTCAAAGGTTCCATTCGACAAGTAGATGTAACGCTAAGGTTCCAAGTGGGATCGTTAATACACAACTAGTTAATATTCGTGCATATTTATTATTATTATTATTAATAACCCTTTAATACAGAACCATTACAATGGCTAGCCACCAGCTCTGAGCTCCCAGCTAGTTTATTTCAATTTACTAAGCCATCATCAGTTCCCAACTCTAGATCCCCTCTGCCCCTGCTCTCCAATCAAATCACTAAATAATATGTAAAGATTGATAACACTAAGGAAGGCTGAAAGAATTGGGTTTGTTTAGTTTGGAAAAGAGAAGACTGAGAGGGGACATGGTAGCAGTTTTCAGGTATCTAAAAGGGTGTCATGAGGAGGAGGGAGAAAACTTGTTCACCTTAGCCTCTAAGGATAGAACAAGAAGCAATGGGCTTAAACTACAGCAAGGGAGGTTTAGGTTGGACATTAGGAAAAAGTTCCTAACTGTCAGGGTGGTTAAACACTGGAATAAATTGCCTAGGGAGGTTGTGGAACCTCCATCTCTGGAGATATTTAAGAGTAGGTTAGATAAATGTCTATCAGGGATGGTCTAGACAGTATTTGGTCCTGCCATGAGGGCAGTAGACTGGACTCGATGACCTCTCAAGGTCCCTTCCAGTCCTAGAATCTATGAATCTGTAAAATGGTCAGAGCTGATGAAATCCCCTAAAAGATGTATTGTTTCTAAGCACGGCCCAATTAAGGAGATTGGAGACCCCTGGGCTAATGTTTTTTGGAGGTCCCCTTTCATGTAAACAGGGTATTAATGAAAGCAAAAGAGTACCTGGTTTGGGAAAGTCAACCTCATGTATATTACTGACTAAACGGAAATTGAACACAATGAACAGATTGTATACTGGCCGGACAAACATAAAACGTAAAACACTGAGTCCTGAAATGCTGCGTGTTTAAACTGGCACTTTGCAAACTTTAAGTGCCACAAATTCAGTTATTATTTGCTCAGACAAGAGTGTACAAAGGACATTACATTTGATTATCAGAACAGCAAGAGCATTAAGCTTTTTCTATCAGATTTGACCAAAGACTGGTTTTCACCTAGGCAAGCTTCCAGAACAATTCTCTGCTTCACAGCTGGCAATGGTACAGCCAAATACAGTCTCATCTCAATGAATACATTCGGGAGAACATTACTCCAAGCTTTGTCATGCAAAAATGTGATGACTCCAGTAACACTCTTATCCTGCATGTCACAATATCTTAATAATGTTGTCAAGTATCAGAGGGATAGCCGTGTTTGTTTGGATCTGTAAAAAGCGACAAAGAGTCCTGTGGCACCTTATAGACTAACAGACGTATTGGAGCATAAACTTTTGTGGGTGAATACCCACTTCGTCAGCAGCATGTGACGCATGTGTCTGATGAAGTGGGTATTCATCCACGAAAGCTTATGCTCCAATACGTCTGTTAGTCTATAACAGGGGTCGGCAACCTTTCAGAAGTGGTGTGCCAAGTCTTCATTTATTCACTTTCATTGAAGGTTTTGCGTGCCAGTAACACATTTTAACCTTTTTAGAAGGTCTCTTTCTATAAGTCTATAATATATAACTAAACTATTGTTGTATGTAAAGTAAATAAGGTTTCAAAATGTTTAAGAAGTTTAATTTAAAATTAAATTAAAATGCAGAGCCCCCCTAGACCGGTGAGCAAGACCTGGGCAGTGTGAGTGCCACTGATAATCAGCTCGCGTGCCGCCTTCGGCACGTGTGCCATAGGTTGCCTAGCCCTGGTCTATAAGGTGCCACAGGACTCTTTGTCACTCTTAACAATGTTGAAAATTAATACATTGTAGCCAAAAGCTCAGGTTCTAGATCATTCCCATGAGCATAGAGCATCTCCTGAGTGCATGTTTTCATCTTCTCTTCCCTTCATACTTGATCCAGAGACATAAAGAAGCCAGATCTTGTGGCTAGTTCAGCATAACATCGATGTATTCATTTTAGTTCTGAACTTAGCTTGTCAAGGTTAAATAACATAGAACTACTCAACCTCACATTTCCTTCGGCCTCGAAGGAAGTCACTTTTGCCATTGGGAAGATTTTGCTTTCCAGTGTGTTTATATTCTTCAGGTAGGACTCATCTGTGATTCTGTCTGGAGTGGCTCACAACTATGAGTGCCTGCCTCAGGGCAGACTGTCAAAAGCAGGGCAAACACCCCAAACTGGTGGTATGTTCTGTATTTAGATTTCACCAAGCCAGTAACAAATGTGAACTCTCAAACTACTCTAACAGTCTTATAATGGAGTGATTCCATTATATCTTGCCACCCAGGCAAGCTGGACTATGGTCACTTACACCCAAAATCACAACATATTCAGGTTACACCCAGTCCCAAGAGACCAGTCACTAATCCAGGGCAGGTTGCATCCTAGATCTCACACCAAAGACAATACTGGTAGCCAGTTCTGTAGTAAGCTAACTAAAAGTTGACTAGCTAAGAAAAAGGAATGAGAGTTATTGAGAGGTTAAAGCAGTTAAAAATATATGTACAGGTGAATCACAGTCTATAATCTCAGAAGGTGGCAGAGATGTAGTAATCTGCCAGTTTCCCAAAAGTATTTTAGTGTTAACCAGAGTATCTTTGGGGATGTTTGTCTTCTCATTCCATTATTCTGCTCTGTAAGAAGCCAAACAGTCCAGAGATAAAGAATTTTTCCTTGTGTCCATATTTATAGCTTCTCATAGAACCTAAGCTGGCAGCAACAGTTCCCACACAGGTCTCTTCTTCATGGCGGAGGACTGGAGGGAAGGAATGCACTTCAAAGTCTTCGATCTCTCACACAATGACCATTTGCTTTCCACGCACAGGATTTAGCACCTTTCTGTTAAAGTTCTTCATTTGCATTACACAAGGCTTCTTTCTCGTTTGATGGATTATTTAGTTACAGGGGTATGTACAATGGAAGTGTTTGCTATTACATTGTAACAGGGTACAGATCATTGAAAACTACTCATGCAACATCTCACCAGTTTTTCATGAAGTTTAAACAATAAACGCATTCTTATACATTTTATCGTCTACTTTGAATCATAGTGAGCTGGTCTGGCAGCTCGGAAGCTTTAAGTTTGTCATTACAACTCTGAAAATAGAGTAAACGTCTCTCGATACACTGAGTATGAAACTCCTTCTCAAAGAAGGCCACTTAGACAGATCTTGTTTGATGTTAATGGCAACTCTATCCTCTTTAGCACTGTTATTCTTTCCACCTTCTGTTTGGTGAGGTGGTAGGAAAAGTGGGTCATCCCTTTCCTCATTACTTTTGCCCTGGATTTCAGGAATGCTTGTCTTGTCTTCTGCCCTCTCCTAAGGGAACAAGTTCATATCCATATCTTCACTTTAATGATTGTTTTCCAAGCAAGATGGTCCGTCATCTTTGGAAGATGATTCTGAAGCAGTACCAGCAGAGAAAGCTAGTAAGTGTGGGCAACTGGCTTACAATTTTCTCTCTTTCTAATGTAGCTTTCCTTTCGATCCTCTGCTTGGAAATTGTCGACCAGATATTTCATTGGAGTGAGGTGAAAAAAATACTATGTGCAGTGCCGTAATTAGCAGCCAGCGACCAGTGACTAGCATCACCAGTTCGCACCCCCATCACCAGCAACTGAAAGTCTGAAAGAAATTGATTAAATTTCAATTTAAGAAGCTGGGACAAAATCAGTGTTGGCAAGGGGCACGAATGATTGTTTTGCTCTTTTCTTTTTAGTGTTAGTAGGAATATAATCAAAATCTCCTTTGTTTATACTGTATATTTCAAGGATTGGAGGCCCCCCAGGAAAGCAGAGGCCTGGGGTTGCAGCACCCTCAGTTTCTGCCCCCCCCCCAATCCAGCACTGCTCCTAACTCCTTGGGAAGATGTCCCTAAGGGTCATCTGCTAACCTGTGAATTTTATTCCATCCTTTTGCTGAAAAGAAGTGGAAGTTGGCAGGTAAAGACAATCTTTTCTCTGCTGTGGGAGATCCTGTAATATGTGCTGTAAATTCTAGTGCACAGGTGACTAGGAAAATCAGTGAGGAAATATGACTCAGGTTCAGAGATGATGTGCAAACCCAAACTTCCAGTGAAACCTGTCAAGCTGTCTAGAGTGACTCATCACCACGTGTGTCAACCTCAGGGCAGAATTTTCAAGAAACAGGGCATGAACCCCAAACTGGTTGTGAGGTCTATGCCTAGATTTCACCAACCACATAACAAGTGTGAATTCCTCAAGAACTGTAACAGCCTTAACAGGGAGTCACAGACAGTCCCCTTATGTACTCTGATCTATCTCACCACCCAGGCAAACTTGTCTTTGCGATAGATGGTCCCTTACATCAAAAGTCACAACAATAATCGGGTTACTCCCAGTCCCAATGGACCAGTCACTTACTTCAGGGCAACTGTACCTTAGATCTCTCGATAAAGCCTGTAGCCCAGGGATCGGCAACTTTTGGTACGCGGCTCGCCAGGGTAAGCACCCTGGCGGGCCGGGCCAGTTTTATTTACCTGCTGACGCGGCAGGTTTGGCCGATCGCAGCCCCCACTGGCCGCGGTTTGCCATCCCGGGCCAATGGGGGCTGCGGGATTAATAG